CAAATATTATCCCCTATAAATCAGTCCACCAAGCCAATTAACCAATTGATAACTAGCTCATCACCCCCTCAACCAATTGATGCATATGATCAATTCCTTCACACCACGCAGTCCCTTGACTGCTGAAAGACTTCATTTTGACTTCACTGTCATGTGTCATCATCCGATTAATTCACCTGTCGATAGAAAATTTACAAAAATGAGTGCAAATAGCTATACTTGAGGACAAATGGATTTTAATGAAACATCTCATCTCCAGTTAAAGGAGTTAGTAGAGTAGACACCTCTATAATTCTAAAAGCAAAAAATATAACTGTTTGGTTTAATAACATGTCTTTGAATTAGACAACATATAAAGGTTGTGTCTAACAATTTTTTTTAAAAAAAATTGTGATATCAAATTATTTTTTAAAAATAAAATATTTTAATTGTCAGAAACTTTTTTATTATATTTTTAGTGAAAAAATTGAACATTTAATAATAAATTATTATTCTTTTAAGACAAATTTTTTTGTCTAAAAAAGTATACATTTTTTAGAAGAAACTGTTCTCTCTGACAGTGTCACTAATGTAGCTAAAGATTTTTTTTTTTTTGTGATCCTTTTTAACTTTGTTTAATAACATGTCTTTGAATTAGACAACATATAAAGGTTGTGTCTAACAATTTTTTTTAAAAAAAATTGTGATATCAAATTATTTTTTAAAAATAAAATATTTTAATTGTCAGAAACTTTTTTATTATATTTTTAGTGAAAAAATTGAACATTTAATAATAAATTATTATTCTTTTAAGACAAATTTTTTTTGTCTAAAAAAGTTTACATTTTTTAGAAGAAGCTGTTCTCTCTAACAGTGTCTTTAATGTAGCTAAAGATTTTTTTTTTTGTGATCCTTTTTAACTTTTGATACAGCATGTTAGGAACAACTTGATGATAGAAATTAGTCCTTAACGTTTTTTACAATCAATTTTTGTCTTTTTGAAATGAAAATTTTTGAATCCTAGAACCTTATATGTTGTACCTTATTGTATCGTATAATGGGTCATATGTTAACCTTCCTATTACTTGCTTACAGTGCCGGCCATGGCCATGAGCCAACCAAGCCATGGCCTAGAGCCCCTCAATATAGACAAAAAAAGGAGTCCCCTCCTATTATAGTTTAGTGTAATATATTATGCATGTTTTAAGTTCAAAAAAAAAATTAAAAAAGACTCAAACTAACTTAAAATAAATTGACTCGAAAAAAGGGTTCCCTCCTATTATAGTTTATCGTAATATATTAGGTATGTTTGAAATCCAAAAAAAAATTAAGGAAGACCAAAACTAACTTAAAATAAATTGACCCATTAAAAAATTGAAAGGCTCATTTAAAATAATTAGCATTATTATCCATTGAAAATGATTTTACAAAAAAAATTAGATTATGCAAGTATGATTGATTTATTTGCTTCTAAAAATGCAAGAAGAGCGAGGATCAAGAGACACTTATTAATTGTTGTGATATAATGCTAAATATTTTTTATGATTTTGACACAAATCTATTGTCTTTTATCTTCTTTTTTTTTTTTCATTCAATGAAAAAAAAAATGTGAGGGGCCTTAAAAATTTATTAGTTGATTATTGGCTTTGGACTCCGAAAATATCAGGACCGAGCCTGATTACTTACTGTGATTTTGTTTTATGAGATAATATTTGAAATGTGGTATTAAAAATAGAATAATACTACTCTTGTTACATTCTATAACTTATTATACCATCTTATTTGTTAACATAAAATTGATGCGTACCACCATTAATATATATATTTTCTAATGGAGTGTTGTGTCTTGGTCAAATTATCAACATTACACTAATGGTAGGATTCAGGGATGGCAACGGGTAAAAAAATTTCGAATTTCATGCACAATTTATTGATTTTCAATTCAACTAGTTTAATGATATAATTTTATACTTTACTTTAATCCTAACATATAATAATATTTAAAAACATATTTAACAGATGATAAGTATAACACATCAGATGGTGCAAATGGTTGTTGCTGTAGGCCTTAGTTCTGGAGTTTTTTTTTTTCCTGCATGTCTTCTCTCACACCTCATTATTAAATTAATCATTGTGTTTAGTTTTAAACTTATCAAATACAATTTTTATTTTATTTTTGTATTTTATTATCTTTATTGAATTTTGAGAAAAAAGTTATCATTGATTTGATAACATTTTTTCCTATTTTTTCAAAGATACCTACACAATATTGCAACATGAATGTAAAATAGGCAAATGGGTTTCATTTTGTTTTGATATTCTTAACTATAATTTTTGTTAATTTCATTAAAAAAAATAAAAGATTTCAAACCAAGGTCTAAATCATTAATGGAATTATATTAAAATAAACATATAGTTCATAAAATGTATACCATGAATTTTTTCTATAAAATTTTAATCTTGTCAATTTTCATATGCTCTATCAAATGCTTTGAATTATCAAATGTTTTTATTATTTTCATTACAGACTCTGGGAACCAAATTTCAAATAACTCATATTTTTTATAATCATAAGTTTACTTCTTATCATTTTTTTATTGATTTAAACAATTTATTTAAAATTTGACAAATTTAATGTTTGTTTGAGTTTTCATAATATATTTTTTGAAAAAAATTCAAAAAACTAGTTTGGAAAAAAATAATAAAATAAAAAAACTCATCATTTTTATATAATTTTTTTTTGGGAGGGGAAACATTTTTTTAAAAATTTAAAAATATTTTCTATATTTATCAAAACAAATTTGTATTTAAAAGAATAAAACAATAGTGATAAATTACTTTTATGAGTGTATATGATATTAAATTCAATAATTGAACTAATGATATAATTTTTATTTTCACCTTTGTGCTTTTTCTATCTCCACTTTCTCTTTATTCTCGCACACTTCATTGTCGAGTGCTGCCACTTTGCCAGGTCAAGAAAAATTTGTTGTCGTGAAAATGTCCCCGACTGTGGTAGAGAAGTGAACAAAACTTTCAAATTGGTGTTATATTTATTGATTGATAAAATAAAATAAAATAAAATTTGAGACATTATTCAAAAAAAATTAATTTTGAACTATTGATCTAAAGCTTCGTTTGGAAAGTAATAATTTTAACCTAAAAGTCAGAAAGTTATAAAAAAAAAAAAAATCAAAAAGCCTATAACCTATATCAAAAAGGCAAATATTTCATTTTCTCTCTATTTTAAACACATCTTTTAGTAAAAAATCAAAAAGTCATTCTAAATATACAAGGTTTTTATCTCATATTTTAGCAAAAAAACTAAAAAGTTATTAAAATTGTCTGTTCCTTTTTGTTTTTTTTTCAAAATTCATAACTAAACAATTTTTCTCTTTTCAAATCATAATACCAAAACTCACAAACTCAAAATACAACTATATTCTCAAATCATAATTCTAAACTCTACCAAACACTACCTTAATTTTTTTTAAAAAACTTGTGAAACTTTGGCATTTCTATACCAACTTTCATCAATCTCCACACACTGACAACATCACAATGATGTAAAATGACAATTTAAAAAAATCCTAAACATCTTTTTACTTTTATATATATATATATATATATATATTGTAAAAAGTCAAAAAATATACTTAGGATTCGTTTGGAATGTGGGTTGATTTTTTAGCTATTTTAGCTTGGATTAAAATATCTCATTTGGGATGGACTTTTTGATTTTTTTGACTTTTGTGAAAAAAAAATTGATTATGATTTGGATGTAGCATTTTATCTTATTGATTTTGTAACGTATTTTGTCTTTTTATAACTATTTTAACCCCATAGCCTTGCGCCAAAGGAATGTTTATTTAAATTATTCCAAAGAATCCTTTAAAATTGTTTTAGGAAGTCGGAAAAAAATTATTTTATTGATTTCTTATAATTTTTTTTAAAAAAATACACAAATACTCAAATAAGTCAATAAGTGATTTCTTTTCATGTTCCAAAAGAAGCCTTATTTTATTGAATTTTTTTGGTCATTTAGCAACCTTTAGTTTTAGCAAAAAAAAGTCAACAAAATTGTTACATCACTCTTTTTACTTTTCTACATATCTTTTCATAAAAATTTAAAAAATTATTAAAATAGTATGTTGTCAAATGAGGCCATTTAAAATTCAATAAAATAATTTATCATTTTGATCTAAAAAAATAATTTATATATTTGAAAAATATCAAAGACAAATATAATATTTTTTTTCCCAAATAATAGTTGCCGATTGACAATTGCCAAAAAAAAAATTGTACTATTCCATTCAACGAGCAGACGATCGAATAGATAAAAAATTTAAAAATTATCTAATTTATTAAACATATTTTCAAAATTCAAACCAAACATAACATTCAAATATAAGGATAAAAACTTGATTTGAAAATCACACCAAACACAACCTAACTTTTAACCTATCTCTCCAAACAACCCCTTTTATATCAAATAGTGCCTAACTTACCATTGAAATAAATAAAGGGCCAGCTTGTTTGAAGTTGAGATCAAGACTGGATCCGTCCAGTTCGGTCCATGGGACTTATTTTTGGGGCCCGTTTTGATAATCTAAACCGTTCAATGCGTAGAAATCTTCGAGTACTACATGCCTAAAAAAAATCACATCGATCGGATATCAATAGCTATGTGATCAAATCAGTTTTTTATAAAAAAAAAATGGACGGTGAAACAATTAATGGTTGATAAAAAACTGTTATGTTCACATAGCTATCGATATCTAATCAACGTGATTTTTTTCATACATATAGTACTTGATGAGTTCTATATATTGAACAGTTCAGATTATCAAAACGAGACCTATGATAGGCCTCCATAAACCCAACAACACGATCCGTCCGATCTTAAACTGGACCAAAGCCACTTCCTAAATAAAAACCCCTCATCCAAACGGATCCACACATTGGAGTTTTGAATTTGGACACAGCCAGCCAGGGAGCCAATAGTCTCCCGTGTCGTGTGCGTGGTGATCCTTGATGAGAGAAAACGGCGTCGTAACATATTTCAAACTCCGCTTCCCCTTAAAACCCTAGAATAGTAGTGCAGGTTTGGTCTTTTCAAAAAAAAGGTTAGGTCTTTTCAGCCTTGTCCACACCACAAGCACAGTGAGGTGAGAGAGCCAGAGATTCCAACAACAATGGCTCAGTTACAGGCCATCTCATCGAGTTCATCTCCCAACTTCATCTTCTACGGACCCAAGCAAGGTATTCTCACTCACTCACTCGTACATTTCTTTGTGTGTGTATGTGTTTCGTTTTTTTGTTAACACTCCCTACATTTTGTTCTCGTGTCATGTCTTTGTAATTTTAATTAGCTTGATTTTGATTTTAAATTTATGATTTTATCTCAACCAATTCAATGACTATTTTGTTTCAAATACCCTAATCATCGTTATCAATTAGACTTAAGTTGACACGAAATTAAAGGACTAAAATGACACACAGGAGAAACGTAGGGACTGTAATTTATCCCTCTTTTTTTTTTTTCATAGCATACATCAGACCAGAAATTGATGATATGGTGAGAAATTAACTATTTATGCGAATACAGACATTTAATTTCTCTTTTTTTTTTTTTTTTTTTTTTTTGTGGGTATTTGCTAAGCTTCTAATTGTAATAAAATTTGTTTCATTTACAGATCCATTCCTACATCCTGATAAAGTATGCTGTTCAAAGAAGTTGCCTTCATTCCAAGAGGTAGTAGTCTTTTATTTCCCCTCGATCAAGATTTGTTATTATTATTTATTTAAATTTTAATATTTTTTTGGGTGTCATACATGATAGATGGGTTATTTGTGTGAAGGTATTGATGGGATTATTTTATGCTATTTTGATTTTCTTTTTCTTTTTGGGTATGGCAGCTAGGGGCGAGAGCGAGTGAGCTTTATGGGCACACAATTGTTCATAGCAATGGGAATCTTACTAAAGCTTGTAGCAATAAAGGTATCAAGCTAAGTGTTTGTGTTTCTATAGTCCATTTTGTTTGCAATTTAAAATTGTGGAATTCTATAATCTATATGTTGCCATACTTTTTTATATGATGACGATTGATGGAACAAATTCACACAACAAGGACAAGGGGGTTGCTTTTGGAGTTTCACAGATAAAAGGAACTCATGTTGATTTCTTTACTAGTGACAATATATTTTTATAAAGTATATTAGTGGCAATAGTTTTTTTAACGTATCATGTTAGGCCTTTTTATTGTTATTGTACTTTCCTTCTAAGTAATACCTTTTCTGTTTTGGGTTTTGTTCACCACACCTTCATTTTTCCACAATATCAGTCTTTTGTCTGATAAATCATAAGTATTGAGATACGGTTGACCCTTTTCAAATTATTACTATAGTTTCAGCTTGTTATTTTTCTCATCTTATTACATAACATCAAAATGGAACTAAAAATACTCCAACCTTGGATAATTACTCGGTGGTATATTTCTTGTACATTTTCTAAAGCTCTTGATATATTCTGTTTGGTATTTCATTTATTCCTTTTTCTTGCATTTTCTTTAATTTTTGGCCTTAAAAGTGCAGCTATTCAAGCGATTTTGAGCAGTGAAAAAGAGACGGTAACCTCTTCAGCTGGCAGTGGGGGAGTTTTACGCAAAAAATTAAATAAAGTGGTTTTGGCCTATAGTGGTGGTTTAGATACCTCAGTCATTGTCCCATGGCTAAGGTAGGCTCAAAAATTTTGTCAAGGCATGTTTACTCTTGTGTTGTATCTGAAAATACATCGTTATTTGCAAGCACCTACATGTTATAGACATCCTATTTTTCAAAGAACAACTACCATTCTAAGGCCTCGTTTGGGAACAGGCTAATTTAGTAACTTTTTGGCTATTTGGCTAAAAAGGTAGGTAAAAAAAACTTGTATATTTGGGAAGGCTTTTTGGCTAATTACGAAAAAATGTGCAAAAAGTAGAGAGAAAAGAGAATCTTTGACTTTTTGGTATGAGTTGTTGGCTTTTTGGCTAATTTAGTAACTTTTTGACTAATTGGCTAAAATAGCCTCTTGCCAAACGAGGCCTAAGTAGTGTGGTATATTCAGTCTTAAACTGGTGTTGATTTCTATTTGTTGGATGGGACAAAAAAGCACATGACATGTCCTGGTGTAACATTTCTGTTTAATGTCGAGTTTAAGATGTAACTTTATGGAGAGAGTGCCGGCTGCATATTCTTCAGTTCCATGCTACAAATAGCATTTTTTTTTTCCAGCTCATGTTCATGCTTGTGATATGTTCTATAATTTTGCTTTTACCTACTCATAGTGCTTCTTGTATTCTGGAGCATTGACTACATATCCTTTTAAATAATTATATTCTCTGTTTTTGTAATCTTGTATCATTTTGCACATTGCAGGGAGAATTATGGCAACAGTAGGTCACATCAATCTTTGTTGCTTTCACATTTCTTGTTGCTAGTTTTGATATGTCATCTCTGTCAAAAGTTTCTGTCTTAGGATGTGGAGGGGGTTAGAGTTACAATATAAATAGAAGGAAAATGTGTCTGCCTTCATTTATCAATTTAAGTGTTCTAAATGATACTTTTTGCCCAAATGGATTATAACAATGACAGGTATGATTTGCCCTTTTCTAATCATCTTCGAATGTGATTTATAGGCTGCGTTGGATTTGTTTCTTTTTGTGGCTTCTGGATTTCTTTTACTTTGCAGCAGTTATATGGGGAAATTTATTATGAGGCTGTGTATTTTGAACAATTTGACAACGTAATTGTTAAATCTACTAGTTGAATGAAGTATTGCACAAAATATGATCTCAAAATTAGTAATGAAGTTGTGTATTTAATGTTGCTATTTTAATTGGTTGGTGCTGCTGTTAGAGATACTTTTACACGGGATTATTGCCTGTTGTTTGCTTATGGGATTACTGCTTATCCTTGCTATTGAATTTGGAGTTGCTGTTTTTGTTTTTTTGGTATTGAACATTTGGAATTATGTTGGTCTTAGTTTTAAATTCTAATTTAATTTAAATCACTAGATTGGTGCTTCTAAGGGGCACTTCTTTTTAAAACTCAAATAATTGAAAACTTTTAACATTATTTTGCTGTCAATATGGTACATTGGTGAAGCCTTTTCAGGAACAAAATTCTTATAGATGAATGTTACAAAATAAAAAAAACTGTCCATGTCTCTCATAAAGTCACCTAAGCATTCGAGCGTACCACCCCGCATGCACTTTTAAATTAAGAAAATGGGTTAAAAATATTATAATTTTTTTTTTATGTACTTGGTTAGATAAAATACGCATTAGTATTGGAGTTGCTATGCGCGAGTATAAAGAGAAATTTAGTAATATGTTACAATGATTATATTTGTGTATATTAGTAATAGATATGAGTAATAAAATCTATTAAATTAATATAATAATATATAAGATGATAAACACTTTACCATAAGGATCCTCACTTGGCATGCCATGCCTCTCCGTTGGCTAGCAATACGCCACCCGTTAGGTTGACCCGTGACCCGTCAAAAATTATGAAAATCATCCCAAATAATAGCACTTAAATCTCTGTACCTGTCGTTGACCAGCTCATGAGCCTATCTTGGCTAAGTCCGTTGGGTATGACTTGGGACCATAGTCTTGGCCCAAGCCCATCCTTGAAACATCCATGCCTCCATTCCTTCAAAAAAAATTTGGATGCACAAATGGCTCATGCACTTCTCATAATCTTGAGGTTTAAATACCTATCAAAACTTTCCTCTACAATCAATGTGGGATTGGTAGTTATACAAAATTCCCAATACCTCATTCATGAAGCCATCTTTGTGAGACAATTTCTCATTCAATTCTTAAATAGTTTTTGGTCATTCTTTTTGTGGTGTAAAAAACTTGTTACAAAGAATCTAAATCCATTTAATCCCACATCAACCAATGGTTGGGACCTACTTTAATTTAACATTAAAGTCACCATAAAATCATTTTTTTCCAACAATCCCCCACATGAATAAAAATTGACCGAATAAAGA